AGGTCTGAGCACTCTTGTACTGACTAAAGTGCGCGCGCTCAGAGGTACGGAGGTGGCGACGCACAGCAAGACGTGCAGCAGCATCGCGGGTGGCCCACTGAGAGCGCACAGTGGGATCAGCATCAGCAGCAGGGGCAGGAGAGGCACCAGAAGTGAGGTCAAAGAGAGAAAGGACGTCTGCTCTGTCGCACTGTAAGAACAGCTGCAGGTCGTCGACCCAGACCTCAAAGTCAATGGCGCGACCCTCAGCGTCAAAAGCTAGGACACTAGGGGTAGCCATGACAGCAGTAGAAGGTCTCACCAGACAGGACGGGTCGGGCAGCGCAGTAGCACAGCAGTACAGCAACACAGCAGCTCAACCGGCTCAGCAGCAACAGCAGCTCCGCAGGACCAGCGGCTCGGCTCCTCAGGCGGTGCAGGCGGCGAGGGCGGCTCGGGCGGCTCGGGCGGCGAGGGCGGCTCGGGCGGCTCGGGCGGCTCGGGCGGCGCTGGCGGCTCGGGCGGCTCGGGCTGTCAGCGACACAGGGCGGCCCGGGGCTGGGACGGGCGGCGCGCGGGCGATCAGGGGCCGGGACGGGCGGTGCGCGGGCGTCGAGAGGCCGGGACGGGCGGCCAGCGGGCGGCTAGGGGCCGGGGCGGCGGCGCGCGGGCGTCGAGGGGCCGGGACGGGCGGCCAACGGGCGGCTAGGGGCCGGGACGGCGGCGCGCTGGCGTCGAGGGGCCGGGACGGGCGGCCAGCGGGCGGCTAGGGGCCGGGACGGGCGGCCAGCAGGCGGCTAGGGGCCGGGACGGGCGGCCAGCGGGCGGCTAGGGGCCGGGACGGGCGGCGCGCGGGCGTCAAGGGGCCGGGACGGGCGGCCAGCGGGCGGCTAGGGGCCGGGAAGGGCGGCGCGCGGGCGATCAGGGGCCGGGACGGGCGGCGCGCGGGCGTCGAGAGGCCGGGACGGGCGGCCAGCGGGCGGCTAGGGGCCGGGACGGCGGCGCGCGGGCGTCGAGGGGCCGGGACAGGCGGCCAGCGGGCGGCTAGGGGCCGGGACAGGCGGCGCGCGGGCGACTAAGGGCCGGGACGGGCGGCGCGTGGGCGGCTAGGGGCCTGAAGGGGCGCGCGCGGGCGGTTAAGGGCCTGAACGGGCGGCGCGTGGGCGACTAGGGGCCGGGACGGGCGGCGCTTGGGCGGCTAGGGGCCTGAACGGGCGCGCGCGGGTGGCTAGGGGCCGCAGGGCAGGCCGAAAAAAAAGTGAAAGCGAGGGCCCGGAGCGCGCTCCGGGCAGAAAAAAAGTTTAAAGGTGGTGGGCCCTAAGCACTGTTCCCACGGGGGAACCTGCTCGATACCATGTTGATAATAGAACGAGAATGAATGAACTATGAATGAAGTGAGTACAAATAGGAAACCCTAACCGGTTGTACCCCCTATGGGATACCCCACTACAGCCTACACAATAGTATAAGCTATATATATGTTCTGACAGTTTCGACCGTTTGATCGAGTTTCATCTCAACGGCCCAGAGAATTTCGCCCAAACAAGTTGGAATTTGGAGCGTCGGATCGATTTTCTCCTCAACGGCCAAGATCGGACGCGAATTTCGCCTAAGGGAGATTTACGCAACCTACAGAATTCGCGCTCGTCGATTTTACAGTCAATTTGACTCGCAGTAAGTCGACCAGCACCTAGAATTTGATTATTTTCGTCGCGCATCTTCCTGTAAATCGCCAAATGGAGGGAAAAGGAGATATTTCAGTACAGAAAATCGCGGAGTTACGTGCTGAGCACAAGCAAATACATGCGGCGCTCCCACGACTCGAAAAACTCCTTGCGAACCTGTCGGCAACCGCCATAGCAGCAGCGACAACAGTTGGAGCAACAGCAGCGGCAACACCGACAATTCTACATGCGACAACGGCAGCAGCTACAGTTAACCTCAAAGCAGTGAAGCTGAGGCTACTGGAGGCGTTCGATCCTACAGTAAAAAGGAACGACGTTCGTCGATTTGTAGCTGAACTCGAAATTTACTTCGAAGCCGTTAGATGCACGACCCCGACAAAAGACGCAATGCGCATACGGCTCGCAGCAACACTGTTACGAGGCCCAGCTCTAGAGTGGATCAACAACAGAATAGTCCAAGGCGAGGGGACGTGGGCGCAGGTTCCGGCAGCACTGATCGTACTGTTCAACACGTTGAACAGTAGCTACTACGGAACACGACGCAACAAGCCAACTAGTGGCATGGGGCGATTGGCACCACCCACGACTGCCGACCCGATGGAGAACGACGAGGGCGATGTGGAGCAGTGGCTAGCAAATAATTAGACGTGCAAATTTTGCGGCGCTACAGGACATCGTATCTTGGCGTGTTGGAAAATGGAGAGAAGGTGTGCGGAGCTGAAGGACAAGAACAGTGCGGCACCCCCGAAGCAGAAAACGGACAACGTGGCAACTTCGGAGAGGGCGAAAAAAGGAGAATATGGTGGCGCAAATTTAAAACGTCACGACCAGCCGGCACCAGGGGAAATCGCCGAGACTAATGGAGGATCCGCGAAACAAGACCCTGCACCGACCGGGAAACTCCAGCCGTATACCCCGACAAGTAAGAATATTACTTCTCGTGGGTTTCAAGCCTTTATTAAGGGAGAGTCGGAAATTAAACCGATACCGGGTATTATGGGGACCCTACTCCAGAGCGCTAATACGGGTCGAGCGTTACGAGGAGTTAATATTCTCTCCCGGCAGCACTGTTTAAAGGCTCCCTGTTCCCCACAGATGAAGCAGTTACAGATATAGACTCTGACACTCCCCCATAACTGCCTGCAGCAGGAGTTTGTGCAGAATTGGAGTTTGTTCACAAATTGGAGAATCCTAAAAAGAAACCCAGTTTTCAGCAACCATGGTGGACGGTACGAAGCTTCTTATCCACGGCGAAGCATCACTGCAACTGCATATAGGTGCGTTGAGGTGGAAGCCGAGGCTACCAATCACCAACATCAAAGAATTATATTTTATCTTGGGGCGAGATTTCCTGAAGCGGTTCAACCCCGAGATCGATTGGGTCAACAGCAAGGTGTGCATCTACAACAATGGGAAGCGGATAGCACTGCGAATCTTGACGGATACAGGGAGTGTCGTTAAACTAACACAATAGGTAGTTAGAGAATAGTTCGGCTTAGGCTTAGTAGCCTAGGCCAAGGAGGATCGAGTTGGTTGTGCCAAGGGTGTCGAGAGAATTTTGGGAAAAGTGTTGTGTTCACTATAGGTTTGCAATCACATATATGCAAGTGAACAAAGGTGCACCACCTAACATAGTTTGTAATAACTACACTAACTACAGCTATAGGCAGTTACAGATATAGACTCTGACACTCCCCCATAACTGCCTGCAGCAGGAGTTTGTGCAGAACACAACCTGCAGGGGTACACAAATAGCAGCAGCAGGAGGTAGGTAGGTAGGTAGTACAGCAGCAAAGGTACAGCAAGAATTCTTGCTATCTCCTCACCCTCCCCCTCCCCCTCCCCCCCACACTGCTGCAGAAGCAGCAGAGGGGGGAAGAGAGGAGAGGTGGAGGGACGGCTGCTGGATGGTCTCACACCCGCCACCTCAGTGCCACTCCCCCAGTTCCCCCACACCCTCACACCCTCCCCCCAGCGGCAACTGCAGCAGCGGGAAAGAAAGGAGGAGGAGGGGAAGGGAAGTTGGTCTCACACCCGCCATCCCAATGCGACTCCCCCAGCTCTCCCACACCCTCACACCCTCCCCCCAGCGGCAGCTGCAGCAGTGGGAAAGAAAGGAGGAGGAGGGGAAGGGAAGCATACCACCCATCACCCCAACACCCGCCACCCCCATACCCTCCCCCCCACGGCTGCAGGGAAACGAAGGAGGAGGGGGTGGGCGGGTGGAAAGCCGCAGAGCGGCTACAGTTGGTCGGCGCGGGTAGGTCAGGGGCAGCTGCAGGGAGTGCAGGCGCGGGGAGAGGTAGAGGCGGCTGCACCGAGTGCAGGAGCGAGGGCGACTGCTCCAAGGGCAGGCACCGGGTGGTGTAGGGGCGGCTGCAGCAAGTGCAGGCGCGAGTGAGACACAGCCGAGTGCGCCAGGGGCGGGTACGCGGCGGCTCAGGTAGGTAGGTAGGTAGGTAGTGCACCGTCGCACGCCACGGGGCGCACGACGGGCAGGGCACCGTCGCGTGCCACGGGGCGCACGACGGGCAGGGCACCGTCGTGTGCCACGGGGCGCGCGACGGGCAGTTCAGGTAGGTAGGTAGTTTAGTTCCCCGTCGCACACCACGGGGCGCACGACGGGCAGGGTAGATGTCACTCGCCATCCGAGGGCGGGACATTAATGAAAATCGCCACGCGACCTAGGCGCGCGACCAGAAAAGAACAGCAGCGGAAGCATACGGCGGGCCCACAGGCCAGGACGAAACTCGCTCTGATACCATGTCGTTAAACTAACACAATAGGTAGTTAGAGAATAGTTCGGCCTAGGCTTAGTAGCCTAGGCCAAGGAGGATCGAGTTGGTTGTGCCAAGGGTGTCGAGAGAATTTCGAGAAAAGTGTTGTGTTCACTATAGGTTTGCAATCACATATATGCAAGTGAACAAAGGTGCACCACCTAACATAGTTTGTAATAACTACACTAACTACAGCTACAGGCAGTTACAGATATAAACTCTGACAGGGAGCATTCCTGAAACGACACTGGCACGGTTCGAACGGACAGTGAACGAGAGTAACACGGGTTACTTAGCACTAGTTATAGCAGCAGCAGAGGAGGAGGTCTTGGAGCAGTACAAGGATATAATGCCCGACGACCTACCCACAGGCGTATCTCCAGCACACACGCAGTAAGGGGCCATCTGGCAGGCTCATCTCGCCCGACGAGTCATCCGACGCGCTGGCAGCAGGTGTGGCTCTGAACCCCTGCTCCACGCAGAGTCCCGCGTCGCAGTTGACGAACTCCGCCGCCGTCATATAGCACGCAGGCTTCATCTTGAACTTCTTGATGAGCAACTACAGCTCGACGCATGTCGCAATGAGGGGCTCAAACATGCCCGTTGCGCACGTGTCGTTCAGGTACGCCATCAGTGGCGGCCAGCTCGGGGGCACGCATCCGGCGTGCCACCAGCTCCTCTGCATGGTTGCTGCGCGCACACGAGTCCACGATTCTCCCAGCCACTCGAGCATGAGGCCATAATCTACGTCAGCGATGGAAGCCGAATAGTCGAACTGGAACCGCTTCACCGCTATCGCACGCTTCATTAGCATAACGCGGTAATGGCCCTTCAGCGCATCCTCCACTCCCGGCAGGTACGGAAGGCCCCCTTCAGGAACCGACCCTCGTATGTTGACGATTCGGGAGTTGGTGAGGTGATGCACGCTGAAGCCGTGCTCCGTGACGGGTCGCGCGACCTCGCCGGTGATGCGATGCGCCTCGTGTATGGTTAGGATGAGGGTGTTGCGATCACGGCTGAAGTGCACGCCATTGACATTCTCCACGAACTCCGTGAACACCAGTGTGCAGAAAACCCGACACCGATAGCACAACTCCATCATAATAGCGGTATGCACACATATGCTGCACACGTCAAACCAACGTTATGCACACTGAGTATACATGGTTACGTACCTCCGGCATCAACCGGCCGCGGTGCGTATACCGGACGGCCACCTGGCGCGATGCCGCCCTCCCCCGCCTGCGCTCGGGCCTATTGTACGGAGATAGAACCACCAGAGCCACCGCGGAACAACTCCCTGTCGCATTGTAAAGAATGCCGACGCTGACAATCCGCTCCGCCCCATTGCGCTTATCCGGAATGTATGTCTTCAGAAGCCGGCTCGGAAGAAAATTAATCTCGTGGAAGAAGAACACGTCGTCCGGGTGCGCGGTAGCCAGCAGTCCCTTCAGGTCACCCATTGTAGCACTCTGTCACCCAGGTTGGCAAGTATGCATAGAAGGCCGGATGACCCCGTACTATATATGTTTCCCTCTACCGGAACGTACCCCCATGTTGCTCCTGTACGCACACTACGTACAGTGGTTGACATGCGCCACACAACCAACCTAACACTACCCCTGTGCCGCTCAAAGATAACGCACACATGTGAAACGCCCACCTGTTACGTTCAGATAGGCCATTTCGCACCCTTTGCGCCACATACGCGTCACCCATATCCGCCTAGCCAACGGCCCGTTCTCGGTCGTTCACACCACCACACATTGAATTGCGTCAAACTCGACCGCACAAACGTCAACAGTACCAGTACCCGTTATGGACCTGATATGCCAACTACTACCACCATTATCATTTTGTTCTAACACCAACATCTACACTTTGCTGAGAACATCTGTGCGCCATACTCATGCTTTAAATGGCCATAATACTGACATGGACATGAGTGCACATTTTATCATCCGTGTCCATGGCATTTCACCAACGGCAACACTCCATACCTACAAACCCAACACTTCCGAACACAATATCGTACACTTACTGCAATCCTCTACCCATCAATCCTGCCTTCTACACACCTAAAACGTATCACGTAATGTTTGCCAACGCGTTGATCAGCACTGCGGTTCCACCCAACCAACATTCATCGTCACTCACATAGTAAAAACCTGTTCACTAATTGCACCTTATTGTTACTGCACGAAGGGCACACGTGCATAACTCTCTGCATGCTCCTCAACTCCACCACCAAGTACCTCACCTTCTCCACTTTCTTGTGCAGCTGCTGGCACCCTGTAAGTTTGCATGTTCCCGCCCCCTCATAGTACCTCACATATGCGTACCCCTTCCACTCCCCATCAAGGTCAACCGCCCTGAAGATGCACAAACATCTTGCATACCAGTCCCCCTTCTTGTTGTTCAGCAGTGCCACGTCCAAATACCACCTCTCTCGAGGAGAAGCCTTCACAAATGTCCCTTTGGCCACCAGCTCTCCTCCTCTTGTGCGCGGAATGGCCACCGTCGTGTGCACCTGTCAGACCAGAGTACCCAATCCAACATCACAGAACATCATGGGTGCAGTGATAACCAACATGTCAAACCCGGATACGTTACCAACCGCTACAACATAATCACCTCACCTGCACGTTGTTGGTAGCCAGACCCAACGCCTTGAACTCATCTGACATCCCCTTCATCTCGTCTCCCAGCGCGGCGATGTACTCATTGTACACCGGAACCGTCACTCCGCCTATGCACATGGTCCGATACCTCTTTGTAAGCACGGGTTTCCTCGTCTTGATTGCCTGCACGTCACGCTCGCATTCCCACAGCAAACCGCACACTGTTTGAGGCACGATTCGTCCATGGTAAACCGCACTAAAGGACTACTCCCAATGCCCAGCATGGTACCACATGCACCCTTACGCACCTCGCGCAAAGCGGACGCGTACTGTCGCCCACCCCCCGCGTCTGCCGCCACCTCACGGTACACCTCTCGCTGCACCTCCTCCTCCACAATGCGTCGTGGTATGTCGCTCCAGTTGCTCCCTCTTACTGGACCCTTAACCGTGCCCTTGTGCGTGCGCTCCCACATTTCAGTGGAATAGTGGTGCGGCATCCCACGGTGCACAACGTTGTCCAGTAAATGCCTGATCATGTGTATCTTTGGGAGTCTCCAGTGGGACGCCTGCGTTGGAAATGCTCTCGGTAGCAACTCCACCAACCTGCCAACGAGTCCACGATAATACACACCACGCGATACATCATCGTGTGTTACACCACATTGGCCGCACAAACAATTAGCATACGCTCTCATTCCCCCCTCCAAACACCCGGAATATGCATATATGTACTCACGCTATCGCATGCTGACGGGCAATCGCAATTGTTGTGTGAGTGTGCCTGTCCACCCCCAGAAAGGCCTTGTAAAACACGGCAAACAGCCTGAACGCTTTGACCTGCAAAGCACGCAACTCTCCCTCTTTTCCACCCTTAAGCGCATTCTCGTCAGCCACCAATATCGGCATTATCTGCATCATGCTCCTGTGCTCGAACGCCGCGTAGTTTGCGCCGGAACTGAAGAACGATGAGCCCCCTGGGATTCAAAGGAGAACGCTAGGCGTGATTCCCTTGAACTCCTTCTTGCGGCTGCGCACATACATGGTTCCAGGTGGTCATCTGGTGGCACACAGGCTGTGCTACTACCCAACTAACCCACCCATGGTAGAGCATGTCCCGCTGGCACACCCAACCACACCAAGCTCACCGTTCAAGCAGCCTCATCTCAACCTTTCCAAGCGGTTCGATGTAGGTGTCCATCATGTGGATCAGCACACCGGAGTCCAACACATGCAGTGTGTCTGCCAGGCATGCCAGGTACACGTTGCCCCACTCTGTGTCTGCGAAATTCCACCTGTGAAGCACACACTGCATGGTCCAACCGAAGACACAATGCTGTTAAAGAGTCCACCGTGTATTACAAGCCAGCAAACTACCCATCGGCTAACACACCTCGATCGGATGGGTTGACCATAACTTCCGCAGTTTGTCAGCCTCCCCTTTCTTCTTACACTCCAGTATCTGGCGGACAATGTCCCTCTGCTTCTCTGGGGTACGTGGATCGGCCTTCCCCACCATCATGGTCAACTCCCCCTTGTCTGCATAGCAGTTAGCGCATGGCCGATGTGACCCTTGCTGAAGAGTCGCAGATGCTCTGCTGGATTCCGGGAAGTCGGCAGGGTATCCGTACAGGCAAGGGACCGCCTTGTGCACCTTCCCGTCCGCATCTGTGCAGTAGAAGAAGCGAACTGGAGCGCTGCACAGTGTAGTGATGCACACATGGTATGCAGTTAGTCGATGGAACATGTACATTACTCAACCCACATTGCCTACTTGCTGGGGTGCCCCCCAGCCCCTTGCAATCGTAGCGTACTCCTCCCCACCCCCCTCCCCTCCAAGTACCTTGCAGACTCTCGCATGATGGGCGCGAGGATGATCTTTAGTGCCTCCTGGAAAACGCGCGTCTTCTCCGTAGGCGATGCCCACTCAGGTGGGAATGGAAGCACCGCCGCCAATGTGTGCCCAGGCTCCACTCCACGCAATTCCTCTTGTATGTTAATAAGTGAAATGAGCACCGGCCACGCGTTCCTCCGTCCATTCCGTGATGCCTGCGTGCTATCACTGTATATCAGCACGCCTAGAATGAGTGCCTCTTCGTCATTAATCTCCTTCTGCCATGTAGAACGCACTGAATAGTGAGATGTGGTTATTCGAATGCATCTAGCATGTTCTGCTGCACACATGAAATAGGGACAGGCTGACCGATTCTCGTACCTGAGCAGAGTGCATCCAATCACCCGTCTCAGGGCCTTCAAAAACCCTCTCGTTATTCTTCTTCCGATGAATCTTCCTTGGTTTCCAAACGAACCCCTTCTTCGATGAGAACGTTCGCACCAGCTTCTTCAAAATCTGCGGGCATCGCGTTAGAATCAGGTGTGAGCGCGTGTATTCCATGGAAATGCATACAGCCGACACTACATTACGACATCGCTAGCTGCGTTGGCCTCCCATTACGAACCAGCTCTGTGTCGCGGAAGTGCAGAAGCAGCTTCATTTGCATTCCTTTGGGGCCCCGCACCACTATCTCCTCCGTTTTCCACGGGACCATGTTGGCTGGAGCTCGCGCCATGCCCCAGCGTTGCACGTCCACCCAGTTGCGCCATCGTCTGAGTGCCCGTAGGTTGAAGCGCGGGTTGCGGAAAATGTGCAGCAGACGGTTCACTTCCCTGTGCGAAAGATCGGCGTCACGGAAGAATAGGTACAACTCCGTCAGTGTATCGAAGATCTCCTTCCTTTCGCTGTCTTCAGAGGACTCGGCAGGTTCGCCGTCAGGTCGTGTATCCGCGTCTCCAACAAGGCTAACTTCGGGGATCGAAGCTGTTGGAGCAGCAGAAACAAAACTGCCATCGTTATTTTTAAGCCGGGATGACGGTGGTGTGTTAGGTCTACTCTCTCCGTCACATGCAATGGCTTCCAAATATGCCGCCCACAAAAGACTCTCTCGTTTCCTCTTCAACTCCTCGCGACAAATTGCCCCATTAGCGACATGCGACTGTAACCTGCTGTCGTCCTTAAACACCGTCTCGCACACCATGCAACTGTTCCCCGTCATCCTAGAGCCAAGAAACCCTAGCTGGGCCAGTAGTAGGACCACTGCTGAGTACCTCAGGTACACTCTAATACAACTCCGAGGACAAACTTCTCGAACACACATGTGTAGGAAACCGTAGACCTTGTGCACAAAATAGCGGATCTTGTGTTACAATTAATGAAAGTACACCCAAGTGTTAATTTGGGGTATGAAATTGTACATTTCAACTGATAACTCTTTGACACATAAAGGCGTAGAGCCATTTACATTTACACTGGAAACATGTCGGGAGCCAACCCCAAACTCCCAAAGTCTGCACTGAATTTGTGTGGAATGTATCACATTTCACTTAAACAAGCCCCGCATATTACAGCAATATACAGATATAGCAAACCATTGAACAACCACGTTCACCAGTACACGATTATCTCAACCCGGGCAACTCTGCCAGATCATCATCAAGACTTGGCGCGCGCTGGAGACACAACGACCACATGTGCCCCCTAACGCGTACGTCGTTATCGGTTTCCGCGTCATTCGGATTCCGCAATAAATCGTATTCAAATGGCGAAACCACAATGTATTCCATGCACCGGGTTTGGTAAACCACCCACACTGAGGACCACATCAACAGAAACCCTAGGCTTCTCACACGTGGATCTGCTTGGCACCTCACCATCACATCCAGTCGAGTTGTCGCATCACACCTGGACATCGCATGCGATGTTGCGCCAACGGTGTCGACCATTGGGTATATACATGACGTTCGCACCAGCTGGACATTGTAGGCAAGGGTTACGCCTGGCTCTCCCCTTCCTTCCGAATAGTGCCATTGTCGCGAGATCCCATAGTTGCTGTGCTCACCCAGTCATCCCCTCCATGCTCACGTATTAATCTCCCTTTGTCTTCCGAATGCCTATCAGTGTTCGTTCATGATGGCGAAACCTAAGCAGTTGGTCTCTAAGCGCAACCGGTTCTATGAACCGGAGACTAGCAGCAGCTCCGATGACCAAGATGCTGCCTCGCCCGTCACCAGATCCAGGTCGTCGAACAAGGCCGACAATAGGGCTCAGAAGTTCGCGAATCATGTGGTGGAAAAGGCGCGAGAGCCGGTGCCGGACGACTTGGTGGCCACTATCGCCCGGAATTATGTGAAATCATCGTACAGCAACATGAAGCTCATGAATCACCGCGGTGTCGGATGTGAAGTGGATAAGGACGACCTCATGTCCATAGAGGACGATCAGTGGATTACTGATGGTGTGATCGACTTCCACAACGTGTAAGTGTCGTTCCGACACTCACACCCCTGACGCGACATGTTGCGCGATTATTACGGATCTCGCGGACCCTGATGTGCTGATATGAACTTTTTTCGTGCACTCGGCAGGCTGCTTAGCATCAGGAAGCCAAAGCTCCGTGATGGGAAGACATGGGCCGCTATGGACTGCAAGGCTTACACACAGACGAATGACTATGGAGCGCCGGTAACACTGGGAAACGGCCGGCCACTTCTGGATCACGATTATCTGGCGATCTCGGTGCTCGAGTCGTGAGTATCGTGCATAAAGTGCTTGTGAGTGGTTTCTGTTGTGAGTCGGGGTGTACTGTCTAACAACTAATCCGTTTAACCCCCCTCATGTTGAGCGCAGTGAACACTATTCCCTCGTCATCGCTATAGGTCCATCGGTGCTCACCAAGTCATCGAAATCTACGGGCAAGGAGCGCATGACGTTGGTCTTGCTGGACAGTTCCATCAAGAATCGGAATACCCGCAAGATTTTTGCGGGAACCAAGCTGTGAGTCATGGTTTTAATGACAATGTCTCCAGTTGTCGTACATGGTCGGTATTTAAAAACGCCTCTGGCCTCTTGCGTGCAGCGTGCTGTCCGAACTCGCCAAGGCGAGTAACCCAAACGCGAACATGGAGTTTGTGGACAAGATGCTGACAGAGGCGGACTGCATCATTCTACGGGTGAGCATGCAACCGGACTCTGTGGATACCAATGTGCAGTAAGCGCCCGCAAGTATACTGATTTCTAACTCGCATATGCGGTCCCGTATTTGCAGGAGGATAAGCTGCCACAGCAGCCTAACAAGGAGGACTGT